TTCTGGGGCCATTCCGCTGAGCCCGTGTGTTTCCTGTCCCCAGGACATTACATGCATAAATATGCATGAATGGTATCTGCATAATACATTTTACCATCCAGCAAAGTGTCCTGCCCTTTGTCCTGATTGCATTTTGCAGATACATGACATCAAACCTTAATATAAACTGGAAAAAGATGATTTTAGCTTTTTCTCTCTCTAAGTAAAAACACAGTTAAATATGATATATAACAATTAGAGTCTTTTCAAATGTTTTATTATTCATTACTATATTTAAAATTTAGACCGTAAATATATTTTCCCAAAGGATTTTTAAATATGTGGTTTTTAATCATAACTCCCGGTTCTCTCTGTTACCTCATGTTCCCCCTATAACCATTTGGGCCGTTATCTGAGTCACATGATCAACAGGAAGTGGCAGCATTTAAGTTTTGAGAATTAAGTTTTGAAAAGTTACAAAATGCAAATAGCATCATTATCTTTTTTTCTGTAAGAATGTTTTTTCAACGGAAACTCAATGCAATGCATTGATCATGAGCCCTGTTCTCTCTCTCAAGAAATGAATAAATATTTAAACTCAAAGCAGCGGGTTTATGGGGCAGATTGCTTTACTGTTTATGCAATAATAATACATCTTTACCGCTGAGCGCCTGTGTTCTGTTAACGTGCCGAAACCCATTAGAAGAGAATGTCTGCATTAAGGTTTGTGACTGCAAACATTTTAGAGGTTTAGATTTATCCATCTACAGTCAACGTAGCCATTTAACATTTTAAGGCAACCCAGTCTCACAGCAAAACGTGTAATAGCTACGTTGTGGACCAACGTGGTATTCTAACGCTTTTTGGGGAGAAAAGCGTGACAATACAACGTTTGATTTGCAACTAGGTCACGTGACTATCAACTTTCCCTCAGCTCCAAAAAAAGAAAATGGCCGACTGTCGGTCTATTATCTGTGAAAAACACAATATTTAAAGAAAGCATCAGCACTGTATGCATTTCAATGGCATTTCTAGCGAGAAGTTTGAGTTATATTTTCATACTCTTCTATCAGAGAATGTAGAAGACCTTCCGTTTATTAGTTTCTAGTGACGTAGTTGCAAGGCAACTTAAATGAATGGGCCGAAATAAAACGTAGTATTGTCACGATTTTGGGGAGAAAGCGTGAGAATATCACGTTGCACAACGCAGCTATCACACGTTTTGCTGTGAGACTGGGTTGTTTACGGAAGAAGATTATACATTTTCTTGCAGAGAGATAGAGAGGCTAAATACAAAGCTAAAACCAGCAGATGTTAGCTTAGCATAGCTAATAAGTCAGCCAACCAGCGCCTCTTCTGCTTCCAATAGTCCCTTTGGGTTGCCAGACTGTAACTTTGGTGATGAGCTCGCTCCTTTGCTTGTTACCAGCCAAATATAACACCCGTTACAGTAGCCGTTGAGTTCATCTTTCCTTTTGCCGTTCAATCGTGGTGGCAGCTTCAGCGCGCTTGAAGTCTGCTGGTTTGTCATGAACCGACGCACAACCTAGAAGTCGAAACGCTCCTTTGTGTTACCCCACAAAGCGTCCTGTTATTTGGACATCATTTGAATATTTCATAATTAAGCGAGAAACTAGGCTGCACTCGCAGAACGCTCCACTTGTTATTTTATTCAGCAGCAGTTCAGGCCGTCTTCAGCGCTTCGTCTTCGGCGCTTCGTCTGCAGGCGCTTCTGTTTTGCATTTTGTTGACATTCCCCTCATAAACCTCTGTCTGTGTGTTCTCTTTTTAAGATCCTGCATTTCGGAGTCAGAAAGACTTTGTTCATTGTGTACAGCGGCAGCAAAGAGAAAGGGGGCTTTGAAAAGAAAACAGTGTTGACACGTTGCGCGACAGTTACACAATACACGATGGACACACTCAGTGCCCACGAGTCACATTCAATGCAGGAAATGAACATAAAGTCCAAGGATTATCCAGTCATGTGAGTTAGTAATAGGCAATAAATGCAACAATAAAAATATGGAAAACATCTGCAGACATGTGAAAGTTTTGATTAATTCAGCGGTTTACCTCTAAATACGTTACACTGAGTCGTGTTTCTATCTTTTAAGTAAGTCATTTACAAACCACTAAAGCGCAGTGTTCTCCGTAATTAGCGCTCCCTTAATTACAGCTGCTAATTAAAGACTTTATTTTTTGATTAAAATCAAGTTCCTTCTTGGTTTGTGTCCTAGAAGACTGTATCGATGCTCAGTTAAAAAAAGAAAAAATCATCCATTTAAAATAATAATTATTCCCACATATTTCCGCTCTTTGGTGTCTGTTGTCCTCAACATCTGGACCGACTGGGTTTGTCTTAAATATGGAGCAATAGGAGTCGGGGATTAGCAGCTAATTAGTTTAACTGTGTCTTGGGACTCATTAAATTCAAAGCATTTACATATATTCTAATTGTTTTACCACAGTTTGCAAGTTGTGCCTCAGTTGTGAAATTGAGGATTATCGAAGTTTGTTTGCTTCCAGCGAAAGCCGACGTGTCAAACCCTGTGCACGTGCATGTGGTTTTTCTCTGTCGGCCTCTTTTGAAACGCGTGCACGCTGTTAAACACCCACCGAGTGGCCCGGCGTTCATTCAGAAGTTGTCCATCGCAGCCTTCAGGTTCAGGTCCGAGGCGTTCTGTGATTATTGTAAGCAAAGAAAACCCCAAAGCTCCTGAGAAATGAGCCAATTTCTTACCAAAACTTTACATAACAGATACGACAACTGTTGAATTGCCGATGACCAAAGCTGTGACTTTCTTAATAAGTCATAAAACGCCATATTTTATGATGGTGGAAAATGTATTTTTAAGCTTGTTTATCTATTTTGTTGTTTACCGTGTGAGTTCAGTGAGTTATGTTACTTTTTATATTGACATACATTTTAAAAAGTTCTACAAAGACCGTTAAAGCTTTCATAATTTCTGGTAAAAGTTCAGCTGATTTTGCAAAAGTAAAGTAAAATAGTTCAAATAAACCTCAAAGTTCAAGCTCAAACACAAAGGCCAGCGTTACGTTGTTTATCTAATTAAATCATTCAAATGCACTAAAAGTGGAGTCACGAGGTCATGTTTATGCATTTATTCACTGAGTTTAAACCTACTTGTATTGATAACTTCCACCTACTCACTGTTTGTCGAGGCTTAAGACCACTCACACGAATGTCAGAGATAATTGATCCTCATCTGCGTTGCAGAGCGTGCTTCAATATTTTAATTTAGCCGTACGCTGGCGAGTGAGGGGGGCTTACGTAAATAGGGAGCACGCGGCACATGGTTCGACTTCTTTTTCTTAAACCAATCTAATTTCTCTGCATAATTATATGTATTAAATTAATTGACGCATATTTGCATATCTAGGTTATTTCTCTTTTGGGTAAAGGGGTCTTCGGAGAGTATAGAAACAATTAATAGCTTGCCAGACAGTAAAATACCTCCGTTCCCTCCTTTGCGTCTGTCTTTTCCCCCGAGGCGTTTTATTCTACGTTGGATTTGGCCTCAGTACACTGGAGGAAAAATGGGGATAACACAACAGTGCAGCAGTCACAGCCACGAAACACTTTAATGGACTTGGCAGCCGCCCCGAACACACACTATCACCGGACATCTTGAAATGACTTTCAACAGCTGGTTGTATTTATAAAAAGTGGAACAATTTACTTTCTGTCCTAAAGGACATTTGTGGCCTGATCTGATACTGGCTGGTAAATGCAATGGGAGGACTGTAATCTTCTGCCCTTCATAGAATGTCTCCCTGCAGCATTGTGATGGTACCGAGCGAGCTGGGCATGAGGCCGTGTAATCACCTAAGCTGATGCATTATGTTGTTAGGGGTGTAAATACTAGACTATCTGACTCACCGGAAAGTGGCTTTCTGCTGGAAGTTTAGAAAGAGTCTTGCGTTTACTCTGAATAGCAGTTATTATATTTCACTGCAAAGAGCCAAAGCAGCAGTTTGACTGAGTGTGGGTACACGCTCCAAATTCATCCCGCTTCCTTTTTAATTCTGTTTTGCCATCCAAAGTGCTGCTGCACCAACAACTGTTTTTCTGACTGATATATAGTTAATCCCTTGTTCAAAGAATTGACAGAAAATAACAGAAAAGTCCCTATCATCATTGCCCGCAGCCCAAAGGGACCTCTTGCAATATCTTGTTTGTTCAAACTCTTGTTTGTTCAATATTTCCAGTTTCAAAACGCTTAATTTATCAACGAAATCCAGTCAAATACCCCAAAATATTTGGTTTACTGTAATAGAAGAGCAGCAATTGCTTAAAAACCTACAAATCAACCCAGGAATTGGAAAAAAGTTTTGAATAAAACCAGGATTACATTGCTCTGTAATTCCAAATGTACTGCAACTCACTGTTTCTGGAAGCAGAATCACTGATCTGATTCCACTTCTGCGCGCTCCAACTCTTTGGTCTCCTTCTGCAACGACCCTGAAAGCAAACGTGTTCTGAAGCCTAATTCTGCAGAATTTACCCCAAAATCAGGCGGTCGAATAAACAACCAAAGCCGAGGCCACTTTGTCTGTAAACGCCGTAATAACACTTCACCCCCAGCAGCAAAATGTAACATTATGTCTAGTTTGTTGTACATAAATCTATAGTTTAAATTGTTTTCAAGGGGACGAACACCACGTTGCATCACATTTCTCGATTTTCTCCCGGTGAAATTGATCTGTCACCATGTCCACCCATGGAGACATTCATTGTATCCCTGCTGTATTTTTCTCTCCTGCTGCTGCTTTCATCCGAGGTTGGGTTCTATTAAGCGCAGCGTCGTCGCCAGCAGACGTGTTTGATAATCCGTTCCTTAACGCCGCATCGAGCCGGAGGGCGCCTGTAAACTTTGGCCGTGTGATTATCTCTCCTGAGAGGTCATGCAGGGGTTTTAATGAACTTTTGTTTTGTTCGACAATCTAAAAAAAGGTCATCGTCATGGGCAACCGACAGTAAAGATAACAAGCAATTATGATTCAGTTTGTGACTGAGAGCTCCAGTGTGCAATAGTTTATTTCCTTCCTTTATTGTAGAAGACGAAAATGCAATTTGGCCTCAATAAAACAAAAGTACCATGAACCTCACTAGATGATATCCTTTTAATCTGTTAATCTAATTGATCAAATGCAGTTTTTATTCGCGTGCTCAACATGTGGACTTTCTCTCTACATCTGGAACCACTGTGCTTTGAAGCTGGTCTGTGCTGCTCCCTCCTGGTGATTAATGTAAAGTGCACACCTGCTCGACGCGATTGGATTCGTGTGATTGTTCTCTTCTATCGCGTGAACTCAGATCTTGAAGGGGCCGTTCTTGACGTCGGGGCCCCTGAGGTCGGTGTGCCAGACTGTCTCACGGCCCTTAGACGTGGCGGACGGCTCCGCGGCGGCGGGTTTGTTTGACTCATCCGCACTGAGACACGTGGAGACCGAATGGATGGAGTTCATGATGGTCATCAGGAGCATTAGGAAACCTGAAGATAAGACGAAAACGGAGTAAACCACCAACAGAAGACAGTATTGGTCGATAAATGTACTGAAGTGACATCGTCTCACCACAATAGACTGTGTTTGCGGCGAGATCGTGCAAACGGTAGCTTCTGGTGAACATGGCACCCAGGCCCACGATGAGAATGGCATAAACGCTGAATACGTAGCGCATGTACTTGGCCAACAGGCAGCTCTGTAGGATGAACCTGCAACATTTTCAGTCGTTTCTTTAAAAATGACATTTTTCAGACGATTTCGCTTGCAAAATCCGACACGAGCCTTCGCCTTCAGCCTCCAGTTCTTCTTCTCTCACCATATTATGATGCAGGAGGAGACGACGGTGAGCACAAAGGTGCTCGTCAGTGGGTCGGGCACACGGGCTCTGTACTTGAGCACGATGCCGAGACCCAGCACGGCGTTCAGGAGAGACCACCAGGCAAACGCCGCCAAACCGTTCTGGGTCTGCGTCAAGGGAGAACACAGATGAATGAAGACGTGGTTCCCAGCTTCGGCGTGTCCTCCGGGCAGAAGAGCGCCCTCACCAGGTAACGCGTCCAGGAGAGCGCACGGGGCCTGTTAACGGCCAGCCAGGCCTCGTGCGCTCTGAGGTTAGAGCAGGACACGTAGAGCATGTAGAAGCCGAGGAATGGGGGAACCCACCCCAGTATGACGGCTCCCAGTAGATCGCTGTGGAAGAGCAACGGCAGCTTTTATCACCTGCGCACGCACACACACACACACACACACACACACACACACACACACACACACGTTTCTTGCTGTGAGAGAATTGGATCCACTTACTGTTTGTCCCATAGATACATCAAGCAAATCCTTGCCACGTTAATCGCGGTCCAGGAGAGATAGAATACCGCGGGGTGGATTTCAGGGCCGAGGTCTGCTCTGCAGAGGGAAAAATATCACTGAGCTGAGATCACACGCGGCACTTCAGAGTTATGATCTAAGGGGCAGAGTCGGCTTTATTGGCTATTAAGCTGTATGCTTACGCATACATGGAAGTTTAATCGGACAAATAAACAAAAACAATATTTAAAAAGACGAAAACATGTACAACAACAAAAAGACAGAAAAAACAGATGTAGGTATAAACCTTTAACAACTATAATATATATCTTTCCAGTATTTTTTTGTGGCGGTTGTATTTGGGTAAAATGCTCCTTGCGTTGCATGAAGACACGTCTCGGGCTACCTCACAATAATGTTGACCACCGCATACAAGAGCCATCCCTTGGACCACAAGTCGATGATAAGCCAGCAGCTGTCAGACCACCAGTCCATGGTGACCTCCAGGGGGAAGGTCTCGCTCACATTCCTGGGCGAGGTCGCAAACAGAGCTGAGGGCCGAGGGAGAAACAGAGTATCACACCGGATTCTTGCTTGAGATGCGTGGTAATACACATCGTGGCTGTGGCATGAATACGATAGTACATCAGTGTGTTGATTTTTGATTTTTTGTAGCCTCGTTGGTTTCATTGGCCTCCATACGGGTCAAAATCCCACAACACGACTGTCAGGGCAAAGGTCTGAGAAGCGAACATTTGGCATTTCTCCATTACGTTAAATATTCCGTTGAAGTATCAATTAACACGATTTGATGAGCGGATTTACACACACACACACACACACACACACACACACACACACACACACACACACACACATGGACTTTAACCCATTGAGAACAGCTCAGAAAATAAAATCTCTTATGCAACAGGTTGTTTTGTTTTTACTCTTTTTCACGTTACGCATGATTTCTCGTGTTCAAACATCCGCTCGATAACGTCTCCCCTCTGCTCCTCGCACCTCCCGGGTGACGCGACGGCTACGTCCCGCGGAGTCGCTCACCGTTGGGCACGTTGCTTTCCTTTGCGAGGTAACGGAAGACGTCTGAGAGCACCTGGGCGATGACGGCCAGGGCGACGCTCCCACCGCGCATCACTCCGTGGGCACCGCGCGCCACAGCGAGGGAAGACATCTGGAGCCTCACCATGGCGTTTGTCCACCGCTCAGGAAATAGAGAGGCACAATGTTTGTCACGTCGAACGTACGGGTCGGACTTTGGTGCTGTTCATTTTTATGGCTTGTCTTTGATTACACGTGATTGCTTTATGGGGCTGTGTGCGTGTGTGTGTGTTGGACAATTATCTCCTCAATTGGTACATCTGCGCACGATTTTAAGTTTTCATTCGCTAACAGGAATGTGTTTGGGCTCTACCGAATATGTATTGGTCAAAAAACATATTTTGATGTTGTTTATAAATGTATTAAGAAAAGAGAGCAGCTTCCCAAGTGGGTTTTGTGCTGTTGTGTGTTTTACACTATGATTGTGAATCTTATGCTTTTGTTTTCTAAACAGTTAAGATAACTCTTGTTATTTATGTGGTAATGAAGAAAACAGTGGTTTGAGCGTCCGATTACGTAAATGTGAGCTCTTTGGATCACATTTTTTTGTATTCTAGCATTGATAAAACATTTTTGTAATCTTATAGTGTTTATGTCTATTGACGATGTCTTGAGAAAGTAAACGTGGATTCTTTGAATTATTTTATCTGGATATATTTGTTTCTCCTTGCATTCTACTTCAATGAATTTTTAATATTTCATCGTCAACCCATCATTTTTTCAGTATAAGACTTTAATAAAGCTTAAAAAAAACCTTGTTAATTTGTTGAAGAAGTTCTTTATTTTATGGGATGTGCATTAGTGTTTTATTATTTTACATTTTTCATGTATCAACGCAGAGTTTTTGTATCTCTCCTTACATTGTCAGTACTAACTCATATTCATAGAAAGAGCTTACTCTGTGTTAAGGCTATTTCCACTGGTGACAGACTGGGTCTACTGTCGCTGTATAGCGGCTGTTTGTGATGCCTCCATGTTACCATGGCAACACGTGCCACGAAGACCATGCAGGAAATCGCCAAGATGAAAGCTGGTGAGGGTAAAAGTAGATTAAAAACCAAATTGGGATGAATGAAAGGTGCACAGAGAAAGTTAAAATGACACACAGTACCTGCAAATATGTAAACCGGACTTTCAGGGTAGTCCGAATTGCTCAGGATGCCGGTCAACCACAGGATCACAACGGGGTAGATGGTCACAATGTAACGCACGTGCTCGTCGAGGTAGAAGTTCTCTAACAGAAACCTGCAGGGCAAACAGAGACGATTGAGGTCCTCTTTGCTGGTGTAGTGTCCCCCGGTGTGAGGTGGGGGGGAGGATGGGGGGAGGGGGGCAGAGACGGTTGAGACTCACCAGGCCAACAGCTCCATCAGGAGCAGCAGCAGCGACAGCATCGCACAGTCACACCTCAAGGTCTCCGTCTGATGCTGCAAGTACGTGGTCAGGCTGAGCAGCGTGGAGAGGGTCCCCCACGTCGCATACACTGCTACTCCGTTCTGCACCTGCTCCAACACAGTGAGGTGAAGACTTCACGAAGCGTGCACGGGCAGGCAGGCGTTTTAATCCTGAAGTATGTGGCAGATTTCTTGCAGCTTTAACCTTAAAGGTTGCACGGGATGCTGGTCAGTCATGTGACTTTATCTACGGCAGGGAGGTGCAGGTGCTCGGCTGCTTCTCGCCTCCTAATCTCAGGCCGCAGCCGCCTCGCGCACAGACCTTTCACAGGGAGCCGGACCGGGCATCTTGGCGAGAATTGCCTCTTCAGATATGGCCGAGGGGGGCGTGACTGACTTCTTTAACCTTTTTGTAGTGTGTCAGCGGTTTGCGGCGGGATTTAACAAATGGAGTGCAACCAACTGAGGGATGAAATGAGTCCTTACGGGAAAGGTTTGACATTTTCAGCAAAAACTAGTGGTTGCTTTTTTTTGCAGAGAATTTCAAGAATCATCAAACCACTTTTATGTCTCCCATACGTTTATAGGATCTTATTACGAAATGTAAGTCCGCAAATGTGGAGAAACAAGGTTTCCAGTGGACGGGGACAGAATATGGATGTTAAAGTACAACGACTCATTTTTACGTGGACACTGTTTTTTGAGGAGTTGCATCGATGTTTCCACATTCATTCAGAGCAACATCAATGTGTCCAATTACAGTGAAGGTAAAATGTACCATAATTTAGGCCACTACTAAAACATTTACTCCGCAGGTGTAAAATGTCCGACAAGAAAGTCTCCTTGATCAGTCCAAAGGGCTGTGTGCAGAATTTGTTATCTTTTTTTGTTATCTTTTTCTTTTAGTTACAGTGTCTATAAACCAACTTCCTTCTTCTTAAATGTTTTTTTCCTTTTGATGCCAAGATGAGATAAGACAAAAATGATCCTTTCACAAAAAAACAGACCCATGAGGTAATTTTACCAATATTCTGATGACCCAGAAGTCTGCATTGTAATATTTGTGTAACCACGCTCCATAGACCTTCAGTCCATGACAGGAGAAGAATAGGATCATATAATCCGTGAGCGTCATTAGTGTGGAGACGATCAGCGCTGGCAGCAACAACCTACACACACACACACACACACACACACAAATGAAAAGAATGAAGCTGCTCTTCATGTTGAAATAAAAAAATAAAGGAACATATTTGTGTTGCCAACTGGAATTTGCCCACTTACTCTCTGTCAAACAGAAACAGCCATGTAATGTTCAAGCAAATATTGATGATGAAAGAGACGTGAAACCCGTAGGGCAGCACTGCAGGCGTGGTGTACATCCAGTTGTAAGCCCTCCTGCGGAGAGAAAGATAGATAGATAGATAGATAGATAGATAGATAGATAGATAGATAGATAGATAGATAGATAGATAGATAGATAGATAGATAGATAGATAGATAGATAGATAGATAGATAGATAGATAGATAGATAGATAGATAGATACTGTATTAATCCCCAGGGGATGCAAAGATGATGGGCAAGGATGAGGTTGTCTTATTCGTGACAGAAAACACACCCGAGCAAATAAACTGTGTGCCCGGGGAAATAATCAGACGCTTTCATACAAAGCCGGAGCAATCTGCGACATCGCAGAGCAAACGACTGCACGGAGGAAGACCAAATCACCTCTGGACTAGTTTGAGTGATTTGCTGCGCGCAATAAAACATCATCAGGATGAGAATAAAGCATTAAGAAATAGGCTCAGTTATGCAGCGTGATGCAGCCAGCGGGGGTAAGTTGCCTTTGAAAATGGGATAAGCGCTTCTACCTTCGACAGAGTCCCACTAAAAAGTATAAAAACATGCCGAAAACCCAAAAAAAGATGAAATCCCAAACAAACAGAGCCCACTGGGCGGGAGTGATGGGTGTCGTGTACTTGAGCGTCACGTCCTCCGTGCTCTGCTTGAAAACACCTGGAATCAGATAAGCACAGGTCATCACTCGGGCCTGTGGAAACGCGTTTGACTGAGTTGTGATTTAGTAGGAGAAACATTCACCTGATTTAGCACCAAATCCCGACAGAGAGTTGAGCGTGATGGAGACTAAGAAGGCCGACAATCCAACGAACATGAGCACAACGCGCGCCGGGCTGTGGCTCACCATGGTGATCGTCTGAGGGTAAAAGTCCACAAAGGATTACTGCCACTAACAGAAGCCACGTATCCACCTTCTCAATATGAAAATACCTGAATCCAAAACCGGCCTCTTCCTTTGTCCACTTTCGTCCTGTCTTTATGGTTTTTGTAGTCCAGTATCCACAGATATGAGAACGATTGCACCTGCCATGACTTGCCTCGGCAAGATATGCCCCATGTTGTGTCACCCGCTTTTATTGCCCTGCACTGATCATCCTTTATCTTCTCCTGTCGTAAACTATCTGCCGTTTGGAGTCGGCTAAAGAGTAAACAGCAGGACATCGTTTGGAAAGAATTTAGATATCAGAAGCACAAAAAGAGCTTTTCAAATCAGCAGGATGGGCCCATTAGTTAAAGCCATTTTTTGATTTACGAATTTAAAACCTTTTTGGTGGAGTCAACAGATAAGGTCTGGATAAGGATGGCGACAGCGTCGCCCCGGGTTCAACTCCCTTCAAATCTCTTTTGCTGATTCAAGACGATCATCGTTTAACGAGTACAGCATCAAATTAAATCAGGTGTAATGAGGCCAGTGGATGAGCAGACCAGGAAATCATTACTTAAATGTCTCTTACTTAATTAAGTCTCTTGCTCCACCATTTACCATCTACGTTTCCATTGATGGGGCGGAGGTGAATGTGTTGTAACAAAGAGTCTGATAGATTTGCTATTTGCAGGTCTTGCGTGTGCCGTTTTCATCCACACAGTGGCACCATTGCGCGACAGTGTGGCTGTGGGGTGTTTGTCACAGTGTTTTATTCTATTTCCATACTTCTACAAGCAGAACATTGATTCACAATTGTATGGATTTGAGCTTATTCACTAGGTTGTCCTGCCTCCAGTAGGGCACAGAAAGAGGTAGCTCGTGTCCATTTGTGCGATTATTCACATGATCCAATTATGCCGCCTGTGAGGACCGAGTCGGTGGGCAGGCTGTGGCACAGCAGCACAGCTGGAGCTCAACCTTTGTGAAAAAGGGAACACCCGACCCGGCGCACCTCTCCTGCTGGCTCCCACAGGCGGCGCCAGATGTGCCCTGGTGGTGTTTTGTATTTAACGCTTAGCAATAATTCATGTGGAGCTTCCTTGGGAGAGCTTAAAGGTTTGATGTGACACTGCACACATATATGCGGTCACGTGCACAGCTACGCACTCAAGTCGCCGCCTGAAAATAAGCTCAAACACACACACACACAGTATGCATTAGATTTGAGTCATAACTCCTGACGCTTGTGGGGGAAAATGAGCGATCTGAATGGATGCTTGTGAACAGCAGTTATTCGTGACCAACGAGCCAACAAGCTCGAGACTAAATTTACCAAAAGAACACTTCACACTGCTGTTGAAATGCCCAGGACAGAATCTGGCTTCGTTTCTGATCTGTAATCCCACATTGTGTTTGGATGACTCTTTCCAGTCAACTGACGGCTGTGACTCACTCCGCTGGCAGAGGACAAGGCCCAATTTGTTGGCTCCTCATCATCTAATAACTGAAATCACATCCAATTACACGCCCGCCATCTTTGATCACTTACATCATAAAGGATATGTGCGTGATGGGTGTTGTGAAGGATCACTGTCACTTTGGCAACAAATTATGATCCGCTTCATGACTCACGAAGGTCTCGGCGACACTGAAGCCTCACAGGATCTCACAGCACCTCCAAACTTTTTACTGTCGAAATACTGTCAAAATGTTTATGGCGGTTTGCCAGCAAGAAAGCAATTAAAACTGACACTGGGACAAAAAGAAACCTATATACTTATGTAATAATAAGATCTCGAAGGGCAGCGGCTTCCTTGGCATCGTTTCTCTGCAGACCAGATTGGACAATTGGGACGTTCCTACATGAACCGTTGGTTAATTAAGGTGCCATGACTAACAAGCTCTGTGTATTCGCAGTGTTTATCCCCTCACAAGCCGTGCCGTGTGACTTTCACACCGGATTTGTGAACCACATTTGTGGGTCCCTCCAGAACCGGCTTTAATGTCACAATTACTCCGCCATGACCAATAACGGCGGCTGCGGCGGCCTGATTACGAATGAGGATGCCGAAGGACGACAAAGGTGAGTTCGCTTCCGAAAGACGCCAATACTTCCTGCGAGTCACAGGGCCGTCGCTTTAATAGGGAAGTGCTTGCGCTGTTATGTCTGAATAATAGCAGATTTTAAAGACCACTTTTCACGCATAAAAAAGGAACAACACAACAACCGGGTTTGTTGGGAAAGTAAGAGTGAATTGCCGCCTTCGACAAGGCAGCAGCGATCACGTCCAGTCATTCTCCTTCCTGTTCCCGCCCGCTTGCCTCATCACAAGAGATAAATCTCCACGCATGACACTACTTTGGTCTGTAAGCTGTGGAAATGGCATTTTCGCTCCTCCATGTGACCCCGGTACTCCCTGCTGTCTGCTGCTGCGCCGCGTTATCGCTGAGCCTCCTTGTTTGGACACATGCCCCCTTTTCAGAACTTAGGATGTGAAAAAGAAGACTTCACAGCCTTTCTGCAGCCCACTGGTGAGGAGCTGCAGCTTGATGCCACGGGACCCTTCAGACAAGCAGGGTGACATTGGTTAAAATTCTATTATTGGGGCATTAGGACCAAGAATAGCACTCCTGTTAAAACTTGCTGGTGTAATAAAATAACATATCCATCTTTGATAAGACGATTCTCTTATTGGGGTTTTGGTTCTGGTTCTGATGCAATCAGTGTTAAATGACGGTAGTATAAGAGGTCAGACAATAAATCATTTGAGAATAACAAATGAGGACGATTATGATAAATCTCTCATTTACAGGACAGAAAAATTGAAAAAAACCAACACTTTGCCACACAAAGTTTTTCTTATTTCAGACCTTTTTCTATGTAATCACAATGACTTAAAGGATGGACTTGTGTGTTGGTCTGTCTGTTGCTCCAGGTTCAAATAAAACAACAACACAACTTTGCTGCTCCCGCGTGTTGTACAGCGTCACGTTGACGTTCTAAATGAGGAACGCCGCGGAGCCCCGACCGGCTGCATTATGTGACGCATTGGAGGTGAGAACGGGTTGGCATCAGCATCTGTGGTCCAGCAGCTCCAAGTCTTGTTTGCTCGCAGTGTTTGCAGGATTGCAGGCAGACGCTTTTGAACTTTTAGTTTTAGGCTCTGCATCAGCGAAACACCAAATTAGGGGATGTCTTTCCCAAGGAATGGTTCTCATCCCCCGAATCGATTCTCAGAGACTTGAACCTCTGCCAAGGAGCACTGAGGCTGTTCCGCAGCTGTATTTAGGCTTTTCCTTTATTTTCTCCCCTTCTGTCTGTGTGCTGTCACATACACTTTTGTTTGCATGCGACGTCCCAGCTGATGTCAGAATTCCCGTCACTCGGTTCCACGTCACGGTCGTCACGCGTGCCGTGATGTGACTCTGCGGGGTGATTCATTGTACTATCACAGGAGGGTGTATCTCATTAAGGAAAACACGCTGTAACCGAGGGTTCTGTTGGTGGGAGATATGCAGCGGCTCGTCTGTCATTCACGCAGCCTCCACTCTCTCTCTCCATCCTCCGTGATTTACTCTCTATCCTCCCTCCCCCACCCCCTCTTTCATCTCTGGATGCAATAGTGTCAGAGCCATAAACTCCCAGCAGCAGAATGCATGGTGGTTTTAGTGGCATTGTTAAGGTGTCTCATATGTGGAATTGCTTGATTTTCAGGTCAGGTTTGCATGTTATAGTTTCTCACGGAGACTGGAGCTGCCTGTAAGATGATTCCATTCCTGTATTTTGTAATGAAAAAGAGCTTCAAGGTTCATTTTGCTACATTTAATTCAACACATTTCCAAGTATAAACCCATTATTTCCAGTAACGCATGTATTGTGTAGCTGCAGTGCATTGTGGTCCATTAAAAACCCCCGTCGGTAAAGCCAGACGCAGTTCCCTCGCTCACACAATGCTTTTCACACACATTTTCAATTGCCACTGGTTTGGCAGCTAGAACAGCGTGACAGCGTTTTGTAACCCCGACCACATAATTACCTCATTATAAACATGAGAACGTGAGCAAATTTACGGTCTGTTTCACCTCAAGTTTAAACCCACACAGTGAGCTGCACTTGAGTTAAAGTCTGCTTTTAAAAAAAAACTGTTATTGAGAGTAGAGGGACGTCATGATGAAGGTGACACCATCTGACACCCTTTAGTGAACACGAGCCGAGTCCTTCTGACTCCCGTCGCTTCGGTTGGGATGCGGTGAGCTGAGGGTCCAGTGGACGAGACAGACGGAGACGACGAAGAGAAACAGAGCGGGGGGGGGAGAAGACGAGAGGGCAAAGGGCAAAGGAAAGCGTAGAGAAAGCAGCGGAGCGAAGATAATGCAGTCGCCGCGCGGTTGTCTCAGCACCTTCTGCTGAGCGGTTCAGGCAGGAATCGCTCCCGTCTCCACGGCGAGGACGTGGCAGAGTGACAGGAAGCACCGACACGCTCCCAGAGCGCCAACTCAAACAACCCCTTCCGAGGGTGGAGGAGGGGGGGAGTGGAGAGGAGGGAGTCTCACAGAAATCCAAAGCTTCGATGTTATTAAAGCCTGCTGAGATGCGGAAAGCGTACCGAGTCAAGGTTGCACATCGCCTGTCGGCGAGACCGTCCCCAGAAACCTGAGGGCGAGCACTTCCATGTGTGCAGCAGCTTTGCAGAGAGACCTTCTTTTCATTTGCTCAATGCGAAACACAAATGTTGTACTGAATGGCAGAGTCGCCTATTTACAGAAAGAGGAGAGTTTGAGTTTTTGGTAAATATCTATTTTTCTTTCTTCGGGAGTTAAGAACATAGGTACCACTTTCCTATCTATAAGATACATATATAGCCCAACCATGAGGTTTTATCTCTTTTTTGCATCTTTTTGCATTATTTGAGGCATTGCAGCCTGACAGTTGCAAAACAAACATTCACAGCAAAGTTCATTTTTTAAACCTTAATATTGCGTTATGTTTGATCTCATTTTCTCAGGAACGGTGGTTTCAACAATCCAAAGCCGGCCTGCTGTGAGAGGCCGGGCTGTAGATTATGCTGACATCACGTAGCACAGGTCGCCTCATTAGGCCGAAGTGATGTCGTGAATGCGCGGCTCCTTGCGTCCACGGTGTTCGACGTTCGCCTTAATCCACCTCTCCTGTTCCGTCACGCACCCACCCGCTGCACTGAAGGACGAGCGCTTTTTATCGCTCTTCACTTCTGCTCTTCAATATTTAATACTTCGCTGGGAATTTCTTTTGTATAGTTTAAAGAAGTGTGAAAAGCACAAGTCCCAAAGAAGGATGGAGGAGTGCAGGCGTGCAAATGTGGGGAAGAGAGCGTGTTCTGCTCGGGGAGATGGAGGCTTAGATTTTCCAAGATCCCGATGGGGGGGAACAGAGCTGTTTCTGCACGGGGTTCACATTAAAACGCCGGCCTTCACCATGTACTAAACGTGATGCTAATGGAAAGAGGACCTGGCAGACTCACGCGTGAGCTGAAACAGCTTCTGCCGATTGCAAATGTGTTTTACTTCTGTGTCGGTGGTAATTCTTGAGACTTCCTCGCTCATCAGTTATTCAAGATGTAAAATGTCAAAATGCATTTGAATGAACAGGACCCACTAGAGGACTGTTACATTATGGGTTCATCCTTTTGTAAAGTGGCCCTTCCCAACCGGTGCACATACACACAAAGACGCACACGAACACGCTGAACAAGTCAATGTCTCTGCCTGCAAACACAAAGCGACGTTCCTCAGTGGAGGCAATATGCTGTTGTGATAACAGCATGTCTTGGGCTTTTTTTTTTTAAACCCTCATAGAAAATCACATGTATTCCACCCCCTGCATCTGAATTATTCAGCTTCAATGCCATTTCTATTCTTAGTGCTTCTAGTAGTGTTTGCATGGCTGCAGAAGAATCCAGAAAACAACATAAGTAGGTGACTATATGCGTTAAATAAGGTCTACATATTATCAGCACATCTTACAGCAGTGTTCATTAGCTCAGCTCTTTCATGTGGTTCAGGAGTTGCAGATACGCGGAATGACGTCTGATTTTCTTGAGCGAAAAGATGTAATTGGGCAATTATAGAATGCAACATGTTTGATGTTCCTTGAGCCCATCGCGTTCACGTCGTTTGCTCTTTGCATGGAATCGTACAAACTGCGAGGTTAAGGCGATAATATTAACACGTCACTTTTACAGGATGCAATGAATTTACTTCGAGACAAAGAGGCCCGAATTAAATCAAGTCAAAAAAGCGATAGAGCCTTCAAGGGAACATCAAAGGTTTGCAGACGTCCCTCTGGGCAGTTTCATGAGCATTGATCTAAAATGCATCGTGGGAGGGCGCTTCCCGTCCAGGAAAACTGTTTTCATCATCATCGTTGCTGAGATCTGCTAATCTCTCCAGTCTCTATTTGTTCGGGGAGAAGCAGCAGAGGAAGAGTGAGCAGCAATTAAGGGAAACATGGGAAGGTGAAGCTGAAACCAAGTTATATCTGCTGTTTTTATTTTTTTGCTTAAACATACGAATTGAGCTTTTCATTGTTACACGACTCTCATTGCCATGGCAGCAGAATTTATAATGATGCAGATTAATTATTTACATTAATGTGGCTTGTGCTACATCTTACAGCATCCTAAATTGGTTTGATCAAATGAATTAACAAAACAACAAGATGTATTAGTTACTGCATGTAAAGCACACTGTTAATGTGCAGTGCTGAAACTGGTTCGTAGAAATACACGTAACAAGCAATAAATATACTAATAGCTTCCTCATGGAGTTTTGTTTGTTAAGGAGAGCTTAATGGTTTTAGACTCAACACCAACAGTCAAAGTGTGATTAAATGGTAATTATGAGAACAAATTAATATTATATTTTCTTCACACTCTTGTCATTTTTTGTATATTCGCAACTACCACCTTTGGTATGAATTATTGATAAATAGCTGGCTGTTGCATGCTGAGCCAGAGAGAGACGTAACATGTGGACTGGCATTAGCCCTGGACCGGATCCTGGACCCACGAAACGCATTCAGTCGCTCACATTTAACCTGAAATCTGTGCTCAAACAGTGCTGTCGTCGTGAATTTTAAATATATAGTGAATTATTTGTTTCGGTTACACTTTAAAATGAATCAGTGATTCAATTTAAAATCTTGTTGCGTTGCTTGGTGGATGGGATTTTGTTTCATAATGTGCAGATGAGTGTTTTTCAGCCGCTAGACACATTTTGATGGAGCCATTTCACACCATTTGATGTGACGGCCAGCGTCTTGGATGGACTGTACTTGCAAGATGCTGTGACGCAAATAAGATCACACATGCGCTCCTGAGGGACTCACTGCACAAACGCAAGTTCCCTTTAAAGACGCCACGCACAGGAAAATTATCTTGAATTTAGGCCTTGTTATAGAGAGCGGGGTTGTGGTTCTTTGAGGAAAGCTCTCCAAGATCGACTGCGAGCAGCCGGGCAGTCCAAGAAAAAAAAATCCTCAGTTGGAAATGAACCATCACGATGACAATTAAAGTCAAGAGGGGGAACGAAAGGGAGAAAATGGTCCAAATATTCATAGCAAATTATGAGTCACATCCAGGTCACCCTTGCCTCACTGGCAACACAGTTCATCGATATTATTTAAATGCAGTGCAAGTGTGGCCACTCATTACCTCTGGGGGGGGGGGGGGGGGGAGCATTGATTTCACTGACACTTCCGGGGAATGCTTCTATTGACTGTCTGCCAACAATAAATTGTTGATTGCTGGTTGATGAAAAGGCTTCGGCCTGTAATAAATCCCCCCTCCCATAATGTCGCCGCGCTGACATTTTCTTATGCAGCATCACATCAGTGATCAGTGTAATGCCTGGTCACCCAAAGCCCATAGAAACACACACCCAGAGCCTTCGGTAAGTTCTTTGCCGCCGCTGCTGTTGCCAGGGTTATGCCATTGAAGCAGGCTGCATGCAACTTTGTTATTAGATCCAGGCTGCCTGGCGGGCGCAGAGCTCGGTCCCTGCAGAGTGCAGCCTCCAGTCATTCATCAGCATCCCTGCTTCACAGAGACAGAGAGTGATGGGGGAAGTGTGCGTGTGATGTGCTTGCAGTGAGCAGCACAACTGTCTTTGTCATTCTGTGTGTGTGTGCGTGTGTGTGTGTGTGTGTGTGTGTGTGTGTGTGTGTGTGTGTGTGTGTGTGCGGGAGAGATTTGAATGAGAAACACTGCAACAACGGATCTCATACTCGATAACACAAATGTCACTGTGTTCTATTATACGTATTATTTGAAGCCTATTTATGAACGCAAGACATGGTGGATACATTTGAAAATTTGCCCTAACCTGAATATTATGAAAGCACGCAAACAGGGGTTAGGCGTTTACAGGATATATATTTAGAATCCCAAAGTTAGGTAGTTATTTTATATTTCAGTGTTTTATATAATTTGACTAAATGGTAAAGTGTTATGCGATAATCAGAAAAACAAATAATAACCTCTAACTGTGGCATCATGATGAGGTTATTACATATATATTATCATCATCATGTAGCGAGACGACACCGAAGGCTCAGGTACAATATTTTGTGTGTGTGTGTGTGTGTGTGTACTGTATATACAGACATATACTGTAACTGGAGGTCAACGACAGGGACTCAGAGCTTTCTTCTTCTGCAGGTGGATTTTGCTCAGTTGTCACGATGAATGCCTGAAATCTGAAATTAATGTATTATGTTCATCCATCCATCCATCCATTGTCAAACCGCTTATCCTGCACACAGGGTCGCGGGGGGGCTGGAGTCCATCCCAGCCAACTTCGGGCGATAGACAGGGTACATCCTGGATTGGTCGCCAGCCAATCGCAGGGCCACACAGAGACATACAACCATTCACACATCTACGGGCAATTTAAAGTCCCCAATCAACCTGATCCCCAGAGCATGTCTTTGGACTGTGGGAGGAAGCCGGAGAACCCAGAGAGGACCCACGCAGACACAGGGAGAACATGCAGACTCCACACAGAAAGGCCACTGGGTGGAATCGAACCCAGGACCTTCTTGCTGTGAGGCGACAGTGCTAACCACCACGCCACCGTGCCGCCGTATTATGTTCATGTAAATACATATTTTGTATAATTGATCACAAGTAGAATATCCAGTAGAATCCTACATGTTTCATAATGAGGCTGAATTATGAAAAGTCGTTATTCACTAGTTGCATTGCAAATGAAGTTAGTTAGTAATAAATCAAATGCACCTGGTGGGTCCTCGTGTTTCACGTTGCAGTTACCCCGCCAGTTTGGCTTATTGAACCCATTTCTACCCTGCAAAGAAGCTACTGTTCATTCTAATTCCCCCCCCCCCGTGGGTCTAATTTGGCTGAGCGGTCCGGCGGAGAATCCAAGTGGGAGACTCCATGTCGGGCTTTCCCTCTCTCCGTTCCCGCGAAGCGCTTGTTCGAGACGTGCGGCGATGCCTCTGCAGCGCGCAGACGGAGCGACGCGGGGACACGCTACAGTGCGCGGGACCCTGCGGTCCAGGTGACGTCCTTTACGGCAAATCCAGATTCGTCGCATCCTCAAGGCAAAGCAGCGATTCCGGCACAAGCCAGAGGATTAAACCCGGAGGTGGGTTCGCGGACGGGCCGCGCGTTGGGAAAGGTAGGGACCGAATGCGCAAATTGTTTGTCCCGTTTTCTTACGTTGTGCGGCGGGCACATTTGTTTGACACTTGTCATGACTGAGGACGGACTCGTCTCTTTTTATAAAAACATTTTTAGCCCGACTTTTTTTTAATTTGTATCATTCATCTCGCGCGTGCAGTCCTGAACCTCGTGCTCCTTGATCCCCTGTCAGATTGTGCGCGCTGCGCTGCCTTCATTGGGTCTTTTTTCTCCCCCTCAACTTTCATGTAAACCCAGACGATGAGAGAAAACGGGTGATTTCGTTTTGACAAAGTTGTTAGACTGCATCCCCCCCCCCCCGACCCCGACCCTTTGACCGCCGTCCTCCCCCCTTGCCGTAAGTGATAACGAGACAGACCCATTATCCTGCCAAGAGCCTGAACAACCGCGGCAGCAATTGCGTCTTTTGGCATCCTATTCTAAAGATTGGATGCAGAGTTTTGGACCTTCTGGGAACAGCGTGGAAGCTGAGCGTGAGGGACCAGGATGCAGCAATGGTCAGAGCAAGATGAGCCATCAAATCACCTCCTCCTCTTGCAGGCTGTACACACTCCAGAGATGGCTTCGGAGACCCCCCCCCCTCCCGCCCCCTGCCTTCTTCCCATGGCCACGTCAATCTGCTGGATGCGTTCATTGTGGCTCTCTGCCCACTAGGAATGGTTTCAGCATTGCCCCGGACTGAGTGTGTGATTCTGGTCATTAAAACACTGTCTATATTGCAGCAGTAGCTTGTGAAATCCAGTTGGCAAAACAGGAACAACATTACGTGCTTGGGTTGTCGTTGTGGCGCAGGGGTCGAGAGGGTGCACCAGGGGCTGTAAAGGTTGGTGGTTTGAGTCCTGGCTGCCCCATGTCCCATGTTGAAGTCCCTGAGTAAGACACCTAACCCATAATTGCTCCCCGGGCAAATATGTAAAAAGCAATGTAAGTTGCTTTGGATGAAAGCATCAGCTGAATGACCTCAAATGTAATTACATCTGAAGGGACTATCTCTTTGTCCAATATAAATGCCCAAGTTTGTCTACCAAAATAAAGCTGTGTTACATTACATGTCATTTAGCTGACGCTTTTATCCAAAGCGACTTACAATAAGCGCATTCAACCATAGGGATACAAACTCCAAAGAGCAAGAAACAAGAAAGTGCGATTTTGTCAAATAAGCCAATTTACAATTTGCTATAGATAAGTGCCATTATAAGTACAATCTAAGTGCTACAATTTATTGTTCTTTAGTCGAGGTAGAGTCTGAAGAGGTGTGTCTTTAGTTTTGCGGTGGAAGATGTGAAGGCTCTCTGCGGTCCTGGTGTCTTCAGAGAGCTCGTTCCACCATTTCGGAGAAAGGACAGCAAAGAGTCGTGATCTGGTCGAGTGTTTTGTTTTGTGTTGCAGACTGCAGCAATCGTGTGTGTGTGTGTGTGTGTGTGTGTGTGTGTGTGTGTGTGTGTGTGTGTGTGTGTGTGTGTGTGTGTGTGTGTGTGTGTGTGTGTGTGTGTGTGTGTGTGTGAGAGAGTGTGTGTAGTGGGCCACTGAGCCCAATTTGGGGGAAAAAGTAAATTGTTATTCTGACTCCGGGAGGATTGAAACGGTTCGTGGCTGAAAGAGTCGATCAAGTAAGGAAGATATTGGCCCCCTACACCAAAATTAATCAAGGGCCTAAATAATACAGGAACCAAAATATTGTGTGGCGTTTTTCCAAGCATTCCTAAGCATTCTCTTATTTTCCAGAAACAGCGAAGAGTCTTTTGCCGTTCCCTCGTCCCCGTGTCACTTCCTTAAACCGTTTCCTTCCCCCTTTTCCTCGTCGAACACAAGGCCCCGAGCGTTGTGGCCCCCTTCCCATCACCCCCGGTAGATGCCCTCTTCATTTCGCCCGTGTGACTGACTGCAGTGGCTTTGGACGACTGCGGGGACGGGTTGTTGGAGTGATCATTAGCTGCCTTTCCTCTTCGCCCGACAGATAATTATGCACTCTGTGCTGAACTGCCAACCTCGCGCCTCTGCTTCATTAGCTTGCTTTTTGTTTTGATGCGGTTATCAGCTGTGGAGGACTCCCCTCTATCATTTTCATACATCTCCGTCCCCTGATGTGAGTGAGAAGGATCCAAAGATTTGAAGGTCTTTTGGGACCTCCTGTTCTCATTCCCATGTCAATTAGAGGAGGCCTCCAGTCTGCGCTGTAGTTAAAACCCCACGAGATCCACTCTGCGACCAAATACCTGTAAACGCTGCTTCGGCCGCTCGTGTGCCGCCTGTGGAATATTGAGGATGCTGTTAATATTGAGGTAAAGGCTGTTTTTTTTAATTAAAAAATACCACATTTAGCGAGCCTCGGCTTTTTCCATGTAATGCAGATGATGTTTTCCCAACGTCAACGTGTCCTCCCCGTCCGCCCAGACGACCTCGCCCAGTGTGTTTGCCGCTTTGTTTCGAGGCCGTCTTGGAAGCCGCGGCAGCCTGAAATTAGATTATAGAAGGACCCAGCGCTAAAACTAGTGGCGCAAATATTGCTTTCCAGCACCCCAAGGCTTTACAATAAAATAAGGGATTATGACAGCAAAGAAGATTGTGCAACGCGCAGTGATGACATAGCTGTTACTCATGACTTGTCCCCCTCAGGTTTTATTAGGAAAGGCCAGGAGTCACAGCGGTGTTGCGATGATGGCTGTGGATGACAGCAATAATGAGTCAGCTACAGCAGTGTTCTCTGACGCCCTTGTAGTGCCGGGCTCTGTTCTTTTTCTTTTTGTCGGGTTTTAATTACACTTCACTGTTCCACTGAGCAGAGCCCGTCAGGTCCCACAAGGTGCTGTTGCTTCTCAGGGGTTCAGTGAGAGCAGGACATTCTCTGTGGCAGAGTCGTCTCTCCTGCACCATTAAGACTCACTAGCGCAGCTCGAGGGGACTCTTCAAGGACCCCTGCATAACTTCAGCTCGAGCAATTCTTTTTCTGCTATTTTGTCATACTGAAGCCATCAGCAAGCCAGTTTAACTTCTTCATCTTTTCTCCTGTGGATCTTTTTTTTTTTTTAAAGGAAGGAGAACGAGCTGTGTTTGTGTGCTCTGACTGAGAGGTTTAGAGAGATCTGAACTCCTTCGTCGAGCCTGGACTCACGGAAGCTACGGGTCTATCACCTCACTACCAGTGCTTGAAAAAGAGTATACCAATCCCACCCCTGTGACATCTGCCTTTTGAGTTCTATTCACTCTCCGTTCCCCGAGGATTTATTCCTAAAAATGTTTCCTCCTTCTCTTGAATGTCAGCAGTCACTGCAACGTGTTCATTTTTCTGCCCAATTCATTTGATTGACAAATATAATTCAACTGGAGGTCAAACCGATCACCATCATATTGTGCTGAGGCAAAGTACGTTGCACCCGCTGGTGATGTCACCTTGCTGTATTATGCTCAGGGAGAACTGTGTGTGCCACAGCAGCCTTTAAGTCACAGATATCGAATGTCTGACGAGGAGCATTGCTTACCATCGCGGCTTCCCTCCATGCCCGCAGGACTTGTGCATTCTACGCCTCAGGCTTTCCCTCTGTGATGATAGTGTGCCTTTCTCTGCACACATTATGAACAGACATTCTCCTACAGTACGTCGCATCCCATCCTTATCCCCCCCCCCACCCCCCCAGTTCTGTCAAACCTTCTGTCGTGTCTGTTTTTCATCCGCGAGGAGATGCAGACGCAGCGGTTTCACCTCTCTTACTCTAAAAGCATGCAGTGACACCGAGTCGCTTTTGCGTGCGTGATGCCAACCATGCCTGTGTCGTGTGCTTTGGTGTGAAAGCCTGCTTTTTATTTGCCTTTCAGCAGGAACTGTCGATATAAAGACGTACTGTAGACCCGGCGCTCGACATGGGGGACAAAGGCGATTCTGGATGGGGAGGGGAAAGGGGCAGAGTGTTTGTATGCCTTCCAGCTACTGGAGCATGCTCCGACTGTTAAAGGCCGCCGCCATTGTTCGGTAACATAATCCAGCAGGGAGGCCTACGGCCGGACACTGGGGGCGCGGGGGGGGGGGTTGCTTATCCCTCTATGCTGGAATGAAGTAGTGAAGTGTGGGCCGATGGTCCTCTTATTGTTGCCATTCTTAAGACAAACTCTTCGCCAACTGACAGCTAGTTTACAGTCTTCTCGAAAAAGTTATTTCAGCAAAAAAACTTTCTGCGGACGTGTTTAATGAAATATAGCGGCATGTATAACCTTCCAAACCGATACCAACAACAATGTGTCCGATTTGTAGTGTAGGAGTGGAATCAGCGGCTGAAAATGGATTATATTACTTGTGATTCAGTATCAATTTGCTTGGAATATTAATAAGTATAGACAATATTTCCATCATCATCATCACTATTACTCTGGACTCTCGCATGCAAACAAACACACACTCAGATAACACTGATGAACTTCAGGGAAGATCAACCTGGTTGCAGCATCCTTATCAGTTAACAGCTGTGCATGTCATCTTTTTCTCTTTAGTTGGGTTTATTGCAGTACTTATCTTAGTCTCGCATCTTTTCGTTCATTTTGATGTATTTGCTTTTTTGAGATGAGGCGTCAAAGGAATTGCAGATCCGTCCACCCGCAACTTCAAAGACCCAGAAGGAACTGACTACAAGGTTCCTTCCTATTGGCAACGTTGAGTCCCTCCACATCTATTTCTAACCTGATCTGTACATCTAATAACTTTAAAAGTCAAACAGCAGTCATGCTGTCAAAACAACTTGCCGCAAAAGCCTCAAATATTCACTTTTCTCTCACAAGTGTAAGTGAACAGCTCCTTGAGGTTTGTGAAGCCCCTCATTACATCACTTGTGAGGCCTCTACATGTGAGTGTGTAGTCAACGTATTTCCTCTTCAAATAGCTTTTTTTATGAAACAACATTTTGCCAGCATAATAAAAAAGGCACTCATCTGTTATAAGGCCTCAGAAATGGTTATGTTGATATTTTCCCACAGTTCGGCATACTTGCA